CTTCACCTCCTCCGGACAGATCATCAGCCCCGCCTGCAGCGCCTGCCGGGCGGGCCGAGGGCCAGCCTCCCGCGACCGGCCGACGGGGAATGCGGAGGAAGACTGGGGCGGGGAGGCCGGGGGCGGGGGGGAGGCGGGGAGGGGACGGGGCTGGACGATGGAGGAAAGCGGGAGGGAACGGAAGACTCCTCCTGCCATGGCCGCAACCTGTCGCCCTCTTCCTCTTCTCCTCACCGCTTCTCCCTCCGCCTCACCCCCCAGCGGTTCAATGACGGAGCCCTGGGGTGTGGGGCCCTCAGAAAAAGGTGCATCAAACAATACAAACTCCACCTCAGGGCCCCATCCTTAGGCCCAATCCTTAGGCCTCATCCTAAGGGCCCCATCCTGGGGCCCCATCCTTAGAAATCCCTCCTTGGGGGCCCATCCTTGGGATCCCGTCCTTGGGCCCCATCCTTAGAGACCCATCCTTGCGGTCCCATCCTTAGGCCTCCCTCCCCAGGACCCCATCCTCAAGTCTGCCCTCTCTGAACTTCCGACTCAGAGCGCGGCCTGGGCCTCTGCCCGCCGGCGGCCCCAGAGGGCCCACGAGGGCCGCTGAGGGCCGCCGCCGAGCGCCGCCGAGAGCCCCAGTGGCCGCAGAGTGCCGCCGAGAGCCGCCGAGGACCGCCGAGGGCCGCCCAGGGCCGTCCAAGGCCTCCCAGGGCCTCAGTGAGCCCCCGTGGGCCTCCGAGGCTCGACGCCGAGCAGGGGCTCTCTCCCGCGGGCGGGCCCAGCGCGAGGCCTCCACGCGGGGGGCTCCTCCGCCAGAGCCCGAGGGGAGCGCGGCCGGCCGCCGCGGCCCCGCCTCGAGTGGCTGGACCGCGCCGCTCGGCGTGGACGCAGCCAACGGAAGGCTGAGCGACGCCGCCGCTGGCTGCCGCCGGCGGCGTGCACTGCCGCTGGGCGCCGGCGCAGTGCACCGACGCAGGCCGCGGCTGGCAGAGCGCGCCCCCCGCAGGCACAAGAGGGCGGCCGCCGGGCTTCGGGGGCTGGCCTCTGGAGCACGGCGCGGACGAGCGAGCGAACGAACCACCAGCGCGGACAAGAAGTGTGTGTGTGTGTGTAAGTGTGTGTTAGTGTGTGTGTGTGTGTGTGTGTGTGAGCGTGTGCGTGTGCGTGTGCGTGTGCGTGTGCGTGTGCGTGTGCGTGTGCGTGTGCGCGTGCGCGTGCGCGTGTGCGTGTGCGTGTGCGTGTGCGTGTGCGCGTGCGCGTGCGTGCGTGCGTGCGTGTGTGTGTGTTGTGTGTGTGTGTTGAGACATGCGCGCGGGGCAGACCAAAAGTCATCCAGGCCAAGGAGGAGATAGAGGAGGAGCCCCTGTCATCGGTGCCGTCGTGCAGTGGTGGTGCCGCGTCGCCGGGGGAGGGGGGGAGAAGGAGCACGTACCCTGGCCGATCCTGGCCAGGCCGGTGCGGCAGTAAGCCACGGGATCGGTGCACACGCCCCGGGGGCTTCGGCCAGGAAAGCAGGCGCACCGGTCCTGGGCCCGGCGTCGGCGCGTGCACGAACGGTGCTGGAGCCCCCCAGGGCGGGGGGGGGCGATGGGAGAAGGGGGAGGGGCGAGGGGGAGGGAGGCGGACTGGGGCGAGGAGGAGTGGGGCGAGGACGGGAGGGGTGCGGGGAGGGACTCGACGTGGTGGTCTTTCGGCCTTGACGCTTGAGAGGTCATGCGATCACGACCGCAACGCGATGAGGACAACAGACCTCTCGGATGGCGCAGACCCGGGGCTGACAGGCGGAGCGGGTCGAGGCGGACGAGAACGGAAAGAGTGGAGGGGGCGCGGTGGGAGGAAAGACAAATAAAGAAGGGGGTGAGATGCATATATATATATATATATATATATATATCGGAAGATAACGGGTAAAAGACGAGGGAGGGATGCATCAGGAAGAAACGAGGCAGGCCGAGAAGGAGGAGCACGGAAGAGAGCGGGAGGACTGCGCCGCCGCGCGCGAGGGGCTGATCCTCGTTAAGCTGCTTGAACTTGTCGCGCTCGCCGGGCGGGAGCCTGCAGCAGCGCGGGGTGGGCGCCAAGTAACGGGATCGAGGCGAGGAGGGCCAGGGCGCAGACAGGACAGCCTGGGGGAGCTGCAGGTGGCAACGACGCTGGATGGGACAGGACGGGGCTGCTGTCGGGGGGGCGACAGGGTAGGATAGCCAAGGGCAAGGTAGAGAATCAGCTCACGTAGCTGGTGCTCTTGGCGCCTCCTGGCGCCCATGAATATCGAAGAATGGGCCTGGCGGCGGGGCCGAAACCAGCCGCATGCAGCAGATTTCGTACCCCGCCTTTCCCTATCCGCCCCCTCCTTTTCGGCCCGATACTGACCATCCTCGCGCTTCTCCACCCCACTCCTCGTATGTTCCTGTTTTTCCCTCGCGCAAGTTCGCCGCCGTCTCAGGCATCTGAGCCTCGCGGGCTTCTAATGGCGGGCTGGGAGGGAGAAAACGGACCTGCGGTACACAAATCATTGCGCGTCACCAGAATGTGCGCCTTCGGTTAAAGATGTGCCTTCGGGAAACCCTGCCGCCACGCAGTTGTTTGCAGCGCGGATGGCTCAGCACCCTCGGCCTGCAGTCAATCGTTTCATCCTCCTCCTCCTCATCCTCCTTCTCGTGGAGACATGGGCGGATGACCGATCGCGCAGCACTGCACGGGAGGGCAGGAGAAAGGCAGCACAAGGTCGGGATGAATTAGGAATATCAGAGGGATGCTGAGTCAAGAGGGCGCGCCCCAGCAGTTCCAGAGCGCTGCAGGACGCTCTGGAGCGATCTGTGCTTATCCCAGGCCTTCCTTCAGGAGGCAGCCTGCTCGCCTCTCAACAAAAAAGCACTGCTCTCCTCATCCTAGCCGCAGACAGCACGTTTGCATTCGGCGCCCCGGCCCCTCCCGCAGCACCACACTGATCAGCTTCTCTAGTTAGCAGAGCGCCCAACGGTGGCGACGAGTGGGTATCCCGATGGCAGGCGAAAATCAAAAGCATATACACGCTGAAGGAGGCTGGGGCCAAGCGACCAGGTAGGATCCAGGAGTCTTCGTTGCCTTGAACAACAAACCCTCCCCCTCCTCCTCCTCCTCGTCCTCCTCATCCTCCTCATCATCATCAGAATAATCATCATCATCGACAGCATCACCATCATCATCAGCATCGTCATCATCTTTCCTGATCCTCCTCCCTTCTCCTCCTCCTCCTCCTCCTCCTCCTCATCATCATCATCATCATCATCATCATCAGCATCATCATCATCATCATCATCATCATCATCATCATCATCATCATCATCATCATCAGCATCATCATCATCATCATCATCATCATCATCATCATCATCATCATCATCGTCATCACCATCATCATCAACAGCATCGTCATCATCATCAGCAGCATCGTCATCATCATTCCTGATCCTCCTCCATCCTCCTCCTCCTCCTCCTCCTCCTCCTCCTCCTCCTCCTTCCTCGCTCCCTCCCTCCCTCCACCTCCCACTCCTCCCACTTCTCCTGCTGGGAGGATACAGGATATGGGTACCGCTACTCCACGGACCTCTCCGTAGGTGAGTTCTGAGCACGAATTCGAGGCGAACCCATCTGTGGCGACGAGAGAAGGGTAGCGGTATCGGTATCTGTTCCTCTTGTGACCGCCTGCCTCCCCCCCACACACACTTCTCCTTTCTCCTGCTCCTCCCTTCCTCAGTCTCTTCCCTCTCCCCACCAAAACCCCTCCCCCTCCCCCAAACCTTCCCCCCTCCCCCAAGCCTCCCCTCTCCTCCTCCCCCTCCCCCCCTCCTCCTCGCTCTCCTCTCCCCTCCCCCCCCCCAAGAACCCCCCCCCCCTATCCGCTCCCAGGGAGCCTGCGCAGGGCGGACGTGTGCCCGTCGTTGTTGAGCTTGTGCTGCTGCTTGGTGGCAGCCGCGGAGATCTCGCGCCAGCACTATTTCTCTGTCCGCTCTTGTTCGACGTCGCGGCGGTGGGAAGGCAAGCACCCAGATCTCCAACCATCCAGCGGGTTCCGAAAACCCTGAACCAAAAAACCTTGCCATCTCTTGGGAGGCCGATCCTTACCTCCGCGGGCTTCCGCCGGCCCTCCGCCAACTTCCGCCGGCGAGAGGCGCCCTCGCTTCGCTTCCGGCCGCCTGCCGCCGACGAAGAGGTGACGACTCCTTCGAGCCTCGAGGACGGGGCATCCAGGCGTTTCTCCTCGGCGTCGGCCTCGGGGGAGCCGTCGAGGGCGGAGCCGGGGCGGAAGGACTGGGGCCCCTGGAGGAGGGGTCGGGAGCTCTGGGGCCGCGCATTGAACAGATCAGACTCGAGAGTGGCTGGGCACCTGGGCCAACAGCTGGAGCGGAGGAGGAGGAGGAGGAGAAGAGGAGAAGGGGGAGGACGAGGAGGAGGAGGAGGAGGAGGAGGAGGAGGAAGAGGAGGAGGAGGAGGAGGAGGGCTAAGGGGCTAAGGGGCTAAGGGGCTAAGGGCAACGGGCGTGCGATGTGAGCGGCCTGGGCAGAATTATGGAGCCTTGTCGAATCCGGCAGGCAGGCCAACGCGGTCGAGGTGAAGACCCGCGTTGCCCCCGAGACAGGGGGAGGGAGAAGGGAATATTCAGGGCTGGACCGAAACAATGTTTTCCGTCTTCGTTTTGTATTAGTTCCTCGTTTTGCCCTCGGCCTGCCTTTGCTGCAAAAGGAGATCAGAACGAAAACGCCCCAGGCAACACCTTCTAGGCCGAACCCTGGCAAAGGGCGAGGTGGAAAGTAGGGCGCGCTGGCACGGAAGCCGCGGAGGGAGGTCGAGGCAAGTGGCGAGGAGGGAGGAGGCCAGGGCAACCATCCTCGCGCTTCCGCGCCGCCCCCCCGCTCGGAGCAGGATGATGGACTCGCGCCTCGCTCTGAGATCGCCCAGGCCGCGAAGCGAGACAAACTTCGCACCCTCGTGGTGGCACTAGAGGTTCGAGGTTCGAGGTTTCGAGGCTCGAGCCATGCGACTCCTCAGGGCCGCTGGCCTGTCAACGGGGCAGCCGACCTCTGCGGCCGAGCAGAGGGGGCTACGCTTGCCAGCTCCCGGGGCGGGCGACGAGCGAGGTGCCTCCCCGGGGCGCGCTCTGTGCAAAAGCTCTAGTCTTAAGTTGGGCGTGTCCCCCTACAGGGGGATTTTCGACGAAGAATGACAATACCCGAAAAACACTGCAAAATGGTTAACAAATGCAAAAAAATAGTCCCCAGAGCATCTTTTTTGTTATTTTTGGACACTCCTCCTGTGATTCGAGGGACGGGCCCGACTTACCTCTAGTCGCAGGCGAGCCCCGGGGAGGGACGAACTCTCGAGGCTCGAGGCTCCGAGGCCGTCGGGCGCTCTCGCTTCTTCCCAGAAGGTCTTCCTTGCCTCGGCGTGCTCTCCGGCGGCTGCGCCTCGCCCACGGCGCGGTCGCGGGGGGGGGTCCGGATGGAACCCCGAAGGGCCCCTGGAGGCCCGAGCGCGACCCCAGATGATGGGCTTGTTTTCCACCCCCACCACCATAAGTAGGAGGGGGAGGGGGTCCTCCTCCTCCTCCTCCTCCTTCTCCTCTTCCTCCTCCTCATCCTCCACCTCCTTCCCCCCTCCAACTTATGGTGGTGGTGGTGGAAAACAGGCCTCTCACCAGAGCCACCAGAGGGGGCAAGCATTCTCAGAAGGCGGCGGGGCTTCCCAGGAAGCCCTGCGCGCCTTCCGAGAAGCCCTCGGGGCCTTCTCCGAGGCCAACGGGCGGCTTCTCCAAGGCACGGGGGGCTTCCGAGAAGCCCTGCCGCCTTCCGAGAGAAGGACTGCCCCCTCTCATTCCTCCCCCGGGCCCCCCGCCTGGCGTACTGTGCTGAAGTTCTAGAACACATCGATTCGGTCGCCTTGGCGGTTGCCAAGCGCTCTCTGAAGCTGTATTGGCCCAGCGCCAATGCTGCCAGGCTCGACGAAATGAAAGATCGCAGTAGGGCAAAGCGGGTCCAGCTCCATGAGGCCATGGCCAATGCCACACACTACGGTCACAAAGATCCGAAGGGGCGTTTCAATTGGCGGATTGTCGCAACCAAGACCCAGGGCGATCCAGAAAAATCGCAACTCTGCCTTACGAACACCCTCTGGATTTCACCCAGGGGTTCACTGGCGCCCGGCCCAGGGAGCCACTGGGGGCCATGGGAAAGGTTCGGACGCCAATTTCCCGCTGCGAACCAAAACGAAACGAGATCTGGGGCGCCATGACTCTGAGAGCCCTTGGCGACGGGCAAGTGGCGCGGCCTGCCCTGGCAACCGTGGGGACCAAAGTGGTGCCGTGTCCATTGCGCCTGATCTTGAGAGACCGCAGCTTCGGTCCAGAAGAAGCAGGGGATGGGAGGATGGCCAGGGCGGCTGGGAGGACGAAAACGGCGATGAGGACAAGAGGATGCGAGGGATCGGAAAGACGAGAATTTCGAACCACAAATTCCAACGCCTGGATATTCCTGTGGTCTGACCTGAGTCCAAAACGAATGAACTCATTGGGCGTACGTGTTCGCATCCGCACGGGCACCCTGGTCATTGTGACAGTCATTATCAGAGGTTCCGTCGTCACCTCGCATCGGCACATGCATGGTTGATCAACATTACAGGCACAAATGTCAGCGACGCACCCTCGGGTAGGCGCAGCTGCGGCAGACTCATCACCATCGACACGCCATCCTTGGAAACTGCACGAAGCATCGGCGAAGGCACGGCTGGCTCATTGCCTTGCGCGCCGTCACAACAGAATTTCTGCTGCCAGCGAATAGAATCCGCGAGCCCCCTTGCGGGGCCAACTGGCTGCGGGGCTGAGTTTTCCTGCAATCTGCTCCAGTCTAGCTTCCAGACTCCAATGTTATAGTTCTGCGTGAGGCCTCCGATTGGTTAAGTGTTACTGGTCACGCGAGGAGGGATACAAAAGCATTCGTTTACCTTCCCCTTCCTCGGGGTTCTCAGAATCCCCTCTGGGTGGTAGGCACAACACCGTCCTTTTACCCCCCTCTCCCCGCCCCTCCCTCCCAGGGGTTCTCGGAAATCCTCAGGGGGGCCCAGGACGCGCTAAAAAATACAGCAGGTGCGCGCTCCCGAGGCCACGATCCCTTGTAAATTGCATCAAGGCCGCGCCCCCGAGACCACGCCGCCTCGTATATGAATTACAACGGATTCGCGCCCCCGAGTCCACAATCCCGGATAAATCAACTGGATTTGGGCCCTGAGGCCAGAATCTCTTCCAACTTACACCAGGTTCGCGCCCCCGAGTTCGCGATCCCTTGCAAACGACGCCGCTGTCGCACCTTCGGAATCAACATCTCTTACAAGTTACGCTGCAGTCACGCCCTCGAAGCCACGATCCCTTCTCCATAGCGCCTGGTTCGCTCCCCCGAGGCCGCGAAACCTGGATACACACACACACACACCCTCCGTTCCTTGATAATTCGGCGCTGGGCCCGAAGACGCGACTTCTCGAAAATAGCACAGCATGCTAGGAGTGCAAAGACCGTCTCAGCCGCGCGATGTATCCCAACATGGCCTTACGCAGCCTCCAGTCGTTTCACGAGGGCCCCAAGATGCACAGCATAACGGGACAGTTCTAAACAGGCAAACACGTATATCAACATGAACCGCTGACTCTCAAGTTGTTTTGCCGATTGCCAGCCGTGCTTCGGGACGACCCCAAGACATCCCGACGTAGCTCTGGCAGATCCCGTTCTGATGCAGAGGGGGGCTGGCGACAGAAGACGAAGCCCTTGCGGATAATGCCCAGGGACCCCATGACATCCTAGCGAAGTGACGGCTGGCCTGTTTCAATGTGGTGGCCCGTGGCTCGTGGCCAGCTCGTGGGGCGTGCGCGTCTGCATTCGATGTGGTCTCTCGGGCCGTCGCCGTCTTGCGGCTCCTGTTGAGAGTGTTCGCACCTTGCCGATTCGATGGCTCGTGGTATATGGCCGTCTCGTGGGGGAGTGGCCTGTGGCTGTCTCCTTGCCAGTGGCACCGTGTTGTGTTTTTTCCCCAAACAGCTTGCTGAACGGGGTGCTGTTGTGATAGAAGCTAACTCCGGCCGAGGGAAAGCTAAGCAGAGACATCCTCAAACAAATGTGGTGGTCCGGCCCGTTTCGCCTGAGACATCCTCACAACTCTCGTTTCTGAGTTGTCCGGGATTGAGCGTTTCGCCTGAGACATCCTCCTAAATCTGAGCTCTGAGAGGCCGCGCGAGAGGTGGTCCGGCCCGTTTCGCTTGAGACATCCTCCAAACTCTGAGCTCCCAGATGCCGCGCGAGAGGTGGTCCGGGCCGTTTCGCCTGAGACATCCTCGCAACTCTGAGCTCCAAGATGCCGCGCGCGAGGTGCTCCGGCCCGTTTCGCCTGAGACATCCTCGAAACTCTGATCTCCCCGATGCCGTGCGCGAGGTGGTCCGGCCCGTTTCGCTTGAGACATCCTCGAAACTCTGAGCTCTGAGATGCCGCGCGAGAGGTGGTCCAGCCCATTTCGCCTGAGACATCCTCGAAACTCTGAGCTCCAAGATGCCGCGCGAGAGGTGGTCCGGCCCGTTTCGCCTGAGACATCCTCGAAACTCTGATGCCCGTGCGCGAGGTGGTCCGGCCCGTTTCGCTTGAGACATCCTCGAAACTCTGAGCTCTGAGATGCCGCGCAAGAGGTGGTCCAGCCCATTTCGCCTGAGACATCCTCGAAACTCTGAGCTCTGAGACGCCGCGCTCGAGGTTGGCCTGCCCGTTTCGCCTGAGACTTCCTCGCAGCACCGAGACATCGTCGCAACTCTGGGGTCCGAGATGCCGCGCGCGAGGTGGTCCAGCCCGTTACGCTGGACACATCCTCGCAACTCTAGGCTCCGAGATGCCCTGCGCGAGGTGGTCCAGCCCATCTCGCCTGAGACATCCTCGCAACTCTGAGCTCTGAGATGCCGTGCGCAAGGTGGTCGGGCTCGTTTTGCACAAGACATTCTCGCAACTCTGAGCTCTCAGATGCTGCGCAAGAGGTGGTCCAGCCTGGGGGCCCAGAAGACCACATGTTACATATCCTCCCTGGGAGCCCCAGGAGGCCCCAGAGAACTTCAGGAGGCCGCAGGACGCCCAGGACAGGCCCCAGGGGTCCGCAGGAGATTCCCAGGAGGCTCCCAGGAGGCCCCAGGAGGCCCCCTATCAGAACGTGTCAAGTTAATACACACCCGGTGTCGATTCGTTGATTTTTCCTGCTCTTGTGGCCCCCCCCCATTTTGGGGGGCCCCGACGGCCACATGTTAGATATCCTCCCCTGGGAGCCCCAAGAGGCTTCAGGAAGCCCCAGGTGGGGTCCAGGAGGCCACAGGAGGCCCAGGAGGAAGCCCCAGGAGGTCACCAGGAGGCCCCAGGAGGCCCCAGGAGGCCCCAGGAGGCCCACGCAACTCGGAGCTCTGAGACGCCGCGCTCGAGGTGGTCCGGCCCGTTTCGCCTGAGACTTCCTCGCAGCACGTTTCGCCCGAGACATCGTCGCAACTCTGGGGTCCGAAATGCCGCGCGCGAGGTGGTCCAGCCCGTTACGCTGGAGACATCCTCGCAACTCTGGGCTCCGAGATGCCGTTCGGGATGAAGAGGAGGTGGTGGAGGAGGAGGAGGAGGAGGAGGAGGAGGAGGAGGAGGAGGAGGAGGCATGTTTTAACATGCCATGCCAGCCCGCACTGGACGGGCACGCAATCGACCTCGGAAACCGCAAGGGTCTAAAAACCCTGTTTGGGGATACTGCACTCCGGCTATAATTGTTTTTTGAACAAATCGGTTGCGCGTGGTTTGTGGCCTTCTCTCGGGGGAGAGCGCGTCAGCCTAAGTCCTTACGTCACATGTTGAGGGGGAGCGACGGCCACAATACCCTTAGCTGTTCGTAGTTTCGCGGTCCTCGATCGAGAACTGGAGGTTCTGCTCACCCAGATCGCTTTCCACTCGCGCACGTGATGGCCAACTTTGGGGAACACCTATCCCCAATTACGCCAATATCGTTGGTGCTGGTGCAGGTGGCCGCTGGGGCGTGGCCAGGGAAGGTCCACGGCATCGTGGGGCCCTCAGGGAGGGCGGGGGAGGCATGGCCTGCGCAGAGAACCCACTGCGCATCCACAAGACATTCGTCGGTGCGCCCGCGGCTGGCTTCCGCATTGGCTTGTTCTCCTGCCCTGGGGCCCGGAGCAATCCCCTGCCCCTGTCCGCGTCTGCGGGGCGATGAGCTATCCGGGAAGCAGACGTATCGTGGCCTCTGGCCGTCGCGGGCGGGCGGTGTGCACGCGGGCCGTCTGCTGGCGCGGCGCATGGCCAGCCCGATGCGTGACCGTGGCATGGGCTCCCGCGTCACTCTGGCCCCCGCTGTGGCTCCTGGAGGGAGGTGGTTACAGTCGGCCTCGATTGGACAGGACACGCGAGAGGACACAAGACCCTTCCGAGGGCCACATGGCCACAGGAATGTAGGAGGCAGGGGTCGCGAGACACAGGACACGAGGGTAGCCTTGATTTGGCAGGGTCGACCTACTGATCCGGGCCGGCCGTACCGCTGTGCTTGTGCATCAGAAAATGTGTTTGTGTGCGTGCTTGCGTGCTCCAGAATGAACCCGCAACCGTGACGTAGGCACTGCGTGGAGTGTCCTCAGGTCACGACGAGTTCTCGGCCCCAGACCTGGCCCCAGACCTCAGATTTCCAGGCCCCTCCTGGCGCTTCTGGGCGCTCTTAGGGTTTTGAAACCGTTGGTTTTGAGAGTTTTCGGGCCCGGAGGGGGAACCCGAGCTGGCTCCACGAACCCCCTGGCAGGAGAGCCCATAATCGAATCGATAAGTCGGATCGGCGATCGAAATGAATCGGATCGGCGGAAATCGGCAGCCGAGTCGGGAAAAGTCGGATCGGCGGAAATCGGCAGGCTACTGTGCGTCCCAGAAGAAGTCGGAATCCGAATCGGAATCCCAGGTCGAATCGAATCGGCATCGGAAGCCACCGAACTCGAATCGACTCGAATCGGAGGCATCGAAATGAGCCCTGCCCTGGTGCTTGCGCCATTAGAGAGCTCACCAGAGGCACCCAAAGAGGGCCCAGGAGGCCCAGGTCCCCAGGAGGCCAACAAGAAGCCACGAAGAGGCCCCCAAGATGCCCCAAGAGGTCCTCAAATGGCCTTCAGCATGCCTCCAAGAGGCGCCCGAGAGGCATCCGCAAAGACGCCAAGAGGCATCCACGAGGCCTCTGACCCATAACCCAGGCACGATGGCTGGATGGGCCGAAGGCCACTAGATATCACAAGATGCCACACCGACACGAGAAAGGTCCATCTGAGGTCCGCGGCCCAAAGGTCCAAGGCCCATCCGAGTTTCGCGCTGGAAAAAGAGAGCAACACACTTCAAGCATATGATGCAATGAATCAGAGATCCGTGCTCGGCGCCTTTTCGTGACAAACTTGGCCAGCGCGGTCAAGCCAACAAACTCTGTGAACTCACTCAAACTAGTTCTGGCTACCCTCACACCTACCCGGAGAGCGAAGTTCCAAGGCAAGGACAGTGTCAAAGTTTGAACAATGGGGAGACCGACAGATGAAAACAATCAGTTGCGCTTGTCGCACAAAGGGGCCATCACAATGCTGCAATCGTAGCCGAGTCGCTCACGGATGTACCCATATGCCTATGTGCGTGCTTGCCCGTATGCGTGCGCCTTCGACGTGTGTGCGTTCGCCTGGCTGTGTGGGTGCAGGTGGGAGGACGGCCATTGGGACATGTGTGGGCATCTGTGCGGCTGCGGCAATGCCGACACGCGCGTGAAATCCAGCAAGGCATGAGGGTACACGCCCGACTTGTCTGGCTGCTGCTTGGGGGGGTGCCTGTGCGCAGGGGAGGCTGCAGCACGGCTCAACGATGTGCTGGTAACCGAACCTGCAGGTTGGGCCCTTTCCCTTCAGGGGGGTAACTCCGACCTTGTCCCTCGGCCATCGTTGGCCTCGCTGGAGTTCCGCGCAACGGGTATGTGGCTGCGTGGGTGTGCGTGTGAGCATGCTGGGGTGCTTGCTTGTGTAGTTGTGCATGTGTGCGTCCATGTGTTTGGCTGTCTGTACGGGGATAGGTGTGCGCGTCATTTCTGTGTTCCTTGTCGGCTCGTCTGTCGTCGGCACGTCTCGCTGTTCGTTTTCCAGTTGCTCGGCGAGCGGTGGATGCGGCACGCGCTCGCGTCCAAAACTCAACTAGCTGCGTCGCCACAGAGGTAGTGAGATCACAGAGGGTGGCGGAAACGAGGGGCGTGCCGCGTGCAGGGGCGCCGCAATGCCTTGCCACACTTCTTCTCGAACACGCGGTGGCACTCGAAGCAGCAGTTGACGTGGATGTGGTCCTCGGCGCCCGAGAAACACACCCCCCCACCCCTGATCACGCCGAGCGGCACGTCCTACAAACAACATGTGTTAGGGAGTGCCCTACACGTTCCGCTGATGCTGTGGCAGGAGCGGTCTCAGCGCCACGGCACATACGCGACGACCGTATTCTGACTACCGACCAGACCACCCCAACCCAACCCGAAGACCCGAATTTGACCCGAATTTCGGGTTGGGGGGGGGTACGGATACCATGTGTTTTTTCAACGTTCCCCGACCCCCCCCCCCACTGGAAATCGAGGATAAATTTGGGCCTTCGGGTTGGGTTGGGGTGGTTTGGTGGGTGGTGATATTCGACCACCTACGCACCGAGGCTTCACCCCGAGAGCCGAGTACCAGTTTTCGGGAGCTGGCCCGAACTCGGTCGGGTCGAGCGGCAGGGCCGGGCGAGACCTAGGCTTTGGTGGGCAGGAAGGGGACAATAAGAAAGGAGGCACGAGGAGGGGGGGCCCCCAAGAGGCCCCCAAGACGCCCCAAGAGGCGCCCAAGAGGCCCAAAAGAGGCTCCAAGAGGCCCCAAAACGGCCCCCAAGAGGCCCCAAAACTCGGCTAGCCCACAACGGTGCGACAATATGGGCCGGCGGAATGAGCGAAGCGATTAATAAGAAAGGAGGCATGAGGAGGGGGGGACCAAGGAGCGAGGAGGGAGGAATATGAGAAGGAAGGGGAGCAGCAGAAGGAGGGAGAGGAAAAGGTAGATTCCTTGAGGCGCTCCAGACCGGTAAGCCCTAAAGCGCCAGCAGGGAGAGGGAGATTGTGCAGCGGCTCCCAGGCGCGACCCCACTACTTACGAGCCACGCCTGGAACTGCGCGGGGCGGCCGCGCCAATGCTCGAGCGCACTTATGTACTGTTTCTTGTATGCACATGGGGGCCTGGAGAGCCATCCAACGGAGGGTCTCAACCACGAGCTTAACTCAGCGCATACGGTCGAGCCAACAGAACCGCAGGACCGGTGAGGTCAGGGCGGTGTGCAACGATTGCCTCGAGTAGAAGCGCTATTCTCGGGCCAATCTGCACACCGATGAGCATGTGACAAGTGCTGATCGCCGCCAGGCTAAACCATATAATGGAATAACGTCGTGTCGTGTCCTTCGCATCGAAAAAAACGGAATGGGAGGCCGTATGGTGTCTCTGGGGGGGCACCCGAAGAACTTTCAGGAACAGCGCTCCAGAGGTGGTTGCTGCTACGCAAGGCACAGAGCGGAGAGTAGGCTAAGAGTCGAAAGGTCATGTGCACACAATGCACCATTTCGGGGAAATGGCCACGACCTACGTTACATCACTGAAATAGGAGCGCTACGCAGCAGCCAAGGGTTGAACCACAGCGCACGCTACCAAGTGGACAGCGATGCCGCAAGGCAGGCTCAGGGGTCACATCCTGCGAAATGCCCAACGTGCCGAGATTCGCGATGGCATCTCCATGTCAGAATCAGTCTCAGAACAGGGTACAAACATAACTCGACAACGGAGAGACGTCTGTGTCAGGGGATACCTGGTGGTTGGCTTCTTGCAGAAGATGGGGCTAACTATGGCATGGGATGCGCTTTGCTTGGCCATTGTCAAGAGACTGGTTTGCGCGATGTATTGCCATAAGTACATAGGTACACGATTGTGCGATCATGCAATCTAATGAATGCATCGCGAGTGCGGACCGTAATGGGGGGCTCCATGCCTAGCACCCAGGACTACCGGGAACCATCATGCTTCTTAGAGGCGGAGGAGGAGGAGGAGGAGGGAGGAGGAGGAGGAGGAGGAGGAGGAGGAGGAGGAGGAGGAGGGGAGGAGGAGGAGGGGAGGAGGAGGAGGAGGAGGAGGAGGAGGAGGATGCTTCTTGGTCGTTGGCACCGTGTGAACACTGAGTGCGGCAAGACACCCGCAGGCTCAGGGCAGCTGCCGCCCCCCACCTCCGCACAGAGCTGCCCCGGCGAAGCGATGGACGCGACTTGCTTTCGCCCTCCAGCACTTGAACAGCCCCCCCTCCACCCTCCTCCTCCTCCACCCTCCTCCTCCTCCTCCCTCCTCCTCCTCCTCCTCCTCCTCCTCCTCCTCCACCCTCCTCCTCCTCCTCCTCCTCCTCCTCCTCCTCCTCCTCCTCCTCCTCCTCCTCCTCCTCCCCCCCCTCTTCCTCCTTTTCCTCCTCCTCCTCCTCCCCTCCTCCTCCTGCTCCTGCCCCTCCTCCTCCTCCTCTTTTTCCTTTTCCCCTCTCCTCCTCTTCCTTTTTTCTCCTCCTTCTCCTCCTCTTCCTTTTTTCTCCTCCTTCTCCTCCTTCTGCCCCCCTCTCCCTGAACCCTTTGGGACCGCAGCTCCACCTCGCGCTTCGAGCCCCATCCCGCCACGGCGACAGATACCGTCCCCACGCGCGCCGGCGTGCCTCCCGGTGCAGCAAAGAGAAGAAGCACTTCGAGAAAGCACCCACCCCAACCTGGCCCCGTGTCAGGGGTTGCTGCAAGTGCCCCTGGCCCACAGTGTCCCCAGGCGTTCGGTCCATTATGTCATGGGGCCCCTGGGGCCCCCTGGGCCTTGTGAAGGGTGCTCTGGAGGCCGCGGGGGCCTCCTCGGAAAACCTGGGAGCACCGTGAATCAGGGAAACCTCTGGCAATGCCCGGCTGCGCGACGCGAAAGCTGGACTGCAGCGCTCCTTCCGGCACTTGTACACCGAGTAGCACCTGCGCCCCAGTGGCTGCTATGGCCGCGACGCATGCAACAACCCCACGAAAAGGACACGCCAGAGGAGAATGGGCTACAGCAACAGAAGGAAACAATGAAGCAGCGGCTGCCGCTCCGACCACATGTGTCAGACATCTCGAGCGGAACCAGCCTGGTCCAGTCTGGGGCCCCGCATTTGCCCGCAGTGCACTCCCCAGGCCTCTTGAGCGGGATCCTTGGACCCCCGTCGAGTTGGGTCCGTCTGTTTCCGTCAGCGCGGGGCGGACGATGGACGAGCGATCGAGGAGCCACGCGGGTCGAGAGGGGGGCGAAATGAGAGGAGGACGACAGGGGAGAGGCGACGGAGGCGACGAGAGGGGCGAGGGGGCGGACGAGGCAGACCCGGAAGGCACAGGCCGGCAGGGCACGGGGTGAGGGGGGAGGCGAAACGTGGCGAGGGCTGGGCAGGCTGGGACTCAAGACTGACTACCTACCAGACCACCCCAACCCAACCCGAAGACCCGAATTTCGGGTTGGGGGGGGTAAGGGTTCCACATGTGTTTTTTCGATGTTTCCCGCCCCCCCCCCACTGGAAATCGAGGGAAAATATGAGCCTTCGGGTTGGGTTGGGGTGGTTTGGTGGGTGGTGAAAGACAGGACCGGCAGCAATGAAGAGAGTCCCATTTCCCACGTCACGGACGGAGGGCACCGGGGACGCCGCAATCGAAGTCGCCAACGTTACTGGGATGTGGACAAGATTGAAGAGCACGACGAGGGCCACACAGGGTCACTCTGAAGAGGGGTCGCGGGTGGCCATGGGAAGGTGCAGCTGCGATCCACCATGTGCGCTGCGCCCAGCAGAGAACGAAGCGACTGAGCCCAGACGGAGCGATCCTGACTTTCCACGAGCCGACCCGGCAAAGACAAAGGCACGCTCGTCTGCCATATGTCTATTTATATTTTATATATTTATAAGCATACTATATATATATATATATGCAGCCTGCGAGGAGGCGCAGGAGGAGGACGGCTGGAGGGGGATGGGGGAGGCAAAAAGGGCAAGGAGAATAATGCGCAGGATGCTAATGAGGACAATCCTCAAGATGCGCGCTAGCGGCGCAGGGGGCTTCCAGGTCCAAAGACGACAACTGAGAGTTCATCTGCCCTGCGATGGCCACGTAAGATCTCCAGGACCTCGGCGTCACAGGAGCGGCGATTCTGGCAGCGACTTCAAGGAGGCTCGGGGCGCCAACATTGCAAGCCCTCTGGGCGTAGGTGGTCTAAGGCGGCTCCTCTTCCAACCCCCTTTTTCCCATTCGGGAAAGGGTTTCGCACTGTTCTCTATTAGTAAACACCCCCTCCCCCAGGCGACTGGGGGCCAACCAGGGTCCATGACAACACCCCCCCCACCATCCCTTGTAAAAAATACAAAACACACTCTGCCTCCAAATTCGGAACATGCGCAGCCAACCCGATGCGCCCCCCCCCCCCCCCCACCATCCCTGTCAACAACAACACAAAGTACCCTTGGCGGCGGCGGCGGCTGCGGCGGCTGCGGCGGCGGTGGCGGCGGCTGCGGCGGCTGCGGCGGCGGCGGCGGCGGCGGCGGCGGCGGGCGGGGGCGGGACGGCGGCGGGCGGCGGCGGCGGCGGCGGCGGTGGCGGTGGCGGGCGCGGCTGCGCGGCGGAGGCGGTTTGGCAGCGGGGGGCGGCGGGGCGGCGGCGGCGGCGGCGGCGGAGGCGGCGGCGGCAGGCGGCGGCGGCGGCGGCGCGGCGGCGGCGGCGGCGGCGGCGGCGGGCGGCGGGCAGCGGCGGCGGCGGCGGCGGCGGCGGCGGCGGGGATTGGCCCCCAGTAGGTGCCCATCCAAATACGACTGCTGAATATGCTGAGGCTCGGGTGCTACGTATGTGTTGGGAGGGCGGGTGGGAGTGAGCGTGACGGGCTGCGGGCGGGGAGGGGATCTTGACCCCTCCCCCACCCCCTCCCCTGGACCTGGACGGGGGGGTCCGCGAGCGGTCAGGGCGTCCAAACTGGCCTCGGCGAGGAAGCCACATTCATTGGTTTTACCAAGGTTTTGGCCCCATGTGGGCCTCTTGGGGGGGCAGCGCTAAAAGGAGCTCCCCTCGTCTTTGATCGATCCCCTACAAGATGGCCCCAAGAGGCGCCCAGAAGGCCACGAGGGGTCCCAAGATGGCCCCAAGATGGCCCCATGAAGCCCCTCATAGGCCCCCCAGACGGCCCCCAAGAGGACACGAAGCGGCCCCAAGAGGCCCCCCCGAGGCACCCAAGACGCCCAAGAGCCCCCCAGTACCGCCAAGAGACCCCCACGACGTCCCAAGAGGCCACCAAGAAACGCCCAAGAGGTACCCCAAGAGGCTCCGAGAGACATCCAGGAGACCTCTGGCCCTTATGTGTGCCCTCCTCCTGTTCCTCCTTCCTCCTCCTACTCCTTCTCCTTTCTTCCTCCTCCTCCTCCTCATCATCACCATCATCATCAACATCATCATCATCATCGTCATCATCATCATCACCATCATCATCACCATCATCATCATCATCATCATCATCATCATTATCCGATTCATCCTCCATCTATCCAGCCTCCTCCTCCTCCTCCCTCCTTCGCACGGTTCGGCCGTCCCCCTCTTTGCTCCCGCACTTCCCTCGCCTGGACATCGTGTCTGGATGGGCTGGTGGGGATACTTTTGATTAGCGGCCCGCAAGGAAAAGTCCAAAGGGCGGTATGACCGAGGCTGGGGCACAGCGCAAGATAATTAGCGCGAGAACGCGCGGAATGCACCTGCAAAACAAATTAGAAAGAGAGGCGACCACAATTGGGCAACAGGCCGGACCCGCAGGTGAGAACCAGATGCCATGGGGCGCAATGCCAGAAAATTAACATGCAGAGACCACTGGGCATATGCCAGCGGACGAGTCGACCCAAGTGAAGCGGGCCAGAGGAAGGGCCAGAGGAAGGGCTGGTGGGGATACTTTGTTTTTTTACAGCCGCGGGCGGGAGCGCCAGCGGCGGCGAGTAACGGTCGGGCTGCGGCCGAAACTAATTGGCCGGACGCGCGCGCGGGCCGCGGCCGGCGCCGGGGCGGCGAGTGCAAGGGTGCTGCAACCCAGGGAGTCTGACGACCACTGGTGGGGATACGCGAAGCGTCTAGAATTGCTCCCAAGAGGCTGACACGAGGCGGAGGAGCAAGGGGCAGACGCAGGAGGAGGAGGAGGAGGACAAAGAGAAACGAATGGGCTGGAGAAGCGACAGCAGCTGCACCCGTAGTGTGCCATTGATAGCAGCAGAGACATTGCCATTAGAAGGAGCAGTGGCTGCAACGACATGTGATCAAGGCTAGTGTTTTACTCCGTGCCGTCTTCTAAAGCCAGAGCCTGTGTAAAAGAATTGACGCTTTGCTCCAGCATCACACTCCACCAGTGCTGACGACACGACGCACCACACAAACCCACCTCATTCTTCCATTCTTCAACGAAGGCTTGTTTATAGGCATCCGCATGGCAACCCTCGAAGAAATCGATTCTGGAACATCTCGCGGGGACATGAGAATCCGCGAAGCGTCGAGAGCTCAAGACATTGCGTCGGGGGGGGGCAACCGAGCATCTCAAGCCTGTGCTGCTGCATCGCCATTGGGGAAACCAAGAAGTACCGCTACCGCCACCCCCTGGACCTCTCCCAGGGTGCGTTCTGACCAGGACTTCGACGAAAATCCAGCGGCGGCGACCAGGGCCGCCCAGGAGGCCCAGAAGGGGAATCCGAGGGAGGGGTAGCGGTATAGGTACCTTTTCTTTGGAGTCCCGAAACGGTGCAGTGACGGACCGTGCGGTGACCTCGAAATCCCGCAAGGCCTCACCGCACGGTCCGTCACCGCACCGTTTTGGGACCCCAGAGGCCCACGTCGCCCGAGACATCCTCGGAGAGGGACCCGCGGCGACCCCGCATCCCCAACGACTCACCGCACGGTGTGGTCACCGCCCCCTTTGGGGGCCCCCGATTTTCCTTCTCCGAGCCAGGCCGCGAAGCATGGGCCGCCAGTGCGCACCGCCGGAGCAGGCACCCAGAACAATCAGAGCCTGTTTTGTTTGGGACTCAGGCAAGTTTACTTGCATGGCGTTCGCCCCCCTCCCCCCCCCCTCGCCCCTCTTCAAGCGAATGCTAGCGTGCAAGTGCCTTTCGACTTGCGTGATTTCCGAACGCGCAAGTCGTTTGCGGCTTGCTTCAGGCTCAGCCCACCCCCCCCCCCGTCCATGCAAGCAAACCTGCCAGAGTCTAAAAAGGAACAAGCTCTCACGGCGGCACTCTCGGAGGCCTGCCCGGCATCTCGTGGATCGGCGCCGCACGCCCTCCCCTGGCGCGGGGGGCAGCGCGCCGCCGGAGGAGCGGCGCCAGCAACGCGCCGCCCAGGGGGGGGGCGCGGCGCCGACCGCAGAAGTCCGCGCAGACCTCCGAAGGCTCATGCCTACGACGTGTTGCGTCAGGCTCTTCGACGGCGGCACGATCCCATGAGAGGTCCACGGCTCGCCTCCCCCACTATAGGGAGGCCTCTTCTGGGACGGGGCCCTGAGGTCAAAGCCCTACATGCCGCCACGCTGGTCCCGGGCCCCCCAGACAGTTCCGGCGCAGTGCCGTGGCTGTGGGCCTCCCGGTGGCAAGAGCAGGCGAGGCTGAGGGCGGGCGAGGGCACGAGTCGAAGTCGCTCTCCGAGAACAGCTTCTTGCAGCCCGAGCACTCGACCTGATCGCAGAGACCACTGCTCCTGCTCCTCGCGCTGCTGCTGCTTCTGCTCGTACCCTCGTGCCCTGCATGGTCCCGAGATGATCCCGTTCCCCGCGCTGTCTTCCTCAGAGGGCCCCAGGCGGGCCCCGTCACCCAACCGAGCCAGAAATACCAGGTCGGTTTGGGATGCGCGCGGTGCGTATCCCAAACCGACCTTCACGTGGTACTGGGGCTGCGCTCCCGAGGTCTTGTGTTTGGGAACGAGAGCCGTGCGGAACGCGCGCAGCACTGCTGGGGAGGTCCTAAGGGCCTCAGGAGGAGGAGGAGGAGGAGGAGGAGGAGGAGGAGGAGGAGGAGGAGGAGGAGGAGGAGGGGGAGGAGGAGGAGGAGGAGGACGTGCGAGGTGTTGCTCTTGCCCCCGAGTGCCGCGCATCGTATGCCTGACATTTACAGTCCCGCTGGCTCGTGGCGCTTGTGCATCACCCGCAGAGCCCGCCGGAGACAGGGCGGCGCGCGATCGGGCTTGACTACCTACCAGACCACCCCAACCCAACCCGAAGACCCGAATTTCGGGTTGGGGGGGGTAAGGGTTCCACACGTGTTTTTGTTGATGTTTCCCGACCCCCCCCAACTGGAAATCGAGGGTAAATCTGAGCCTTCGGGTTGGGTTGGGGTGGCTTGGTGGGTGGTGAGGGCTGGCGCAGCTCGCACCTCAGCGCCGCAAAAGTTCTGCTATGAAAAGTGCGGTCATGCTCGGGCACGGCTTACCGTATGATGGTTGCTCGCCCAGCCCCTCGATCTATAAATATGCAGGGAGGGGGAAGAAAGAGGGGGAGATAGAGAGAGAGGGAGATTGAAAGAGAGAGAGAGAGAGAGAGAGTGAGAGTGAGAGAGAGAGAGAGTGAAAAGAGAGAGAGAGAGAGAGAGAAAAAAAAAAAAAAAAAAAAAGCGAGAGGGAAAAGAGAGAGCGAGAGAGAAAGAGAGAGATCACAAACAAACAAACAAAACATGATGTCGGAGTTTCCCACATGAGGAGTTCAAATGGGTCGGGGGTTCAAGGAAGGCACAACAGCAACGACACAAAATGTTGAAAGCCCACACGTTGAAATCAACGCCCCATCAGCTCTTTGAACTGCTGGATCGTTGACCCCTGACTCCTGAGCTTCCTGCGTGTTCGCATTGCTGCACTCCTCATCCGCATGCCGCATATGACGTCATGCCTTCTCCTCCTTTTCCGGCTATGAGTCAGTCCTCCTACGCGCCATTGTCCTCATCAGTCGTTTCCCCCTCCTCGTTCCTTCGACGCATCCCTGGGGGGCCAGCACTGGTGAGGCTGCTGCAGTGGGGCGGGCGCGAGACTTGACATGTCACATTGTTGCTCAAGAAAAACTCTGCTCCGATGCCTGCCGCGGTCTGGCGGGGCCTCCCTCACGTGCCAGGTGGCACTGGCAAGGCTGGGGGAGTGGAAAGGGCACGAAACCTGAAATATATGTATATGTGTATATATATATATATATATATATATATATGTATAACAGTATCCTGATACCTGCCGCGGTCTGGCGGGGCCTCGCTACAGGGCCAAGTGGCACTGGCGAGGCGGGCGGAATAGGGAGGTAACGAAACCTCACAAATAACACAGTGCTCAGACGCATGCTGCGATCTGGCGGGGGCGCTGCGATACCTGCCACGGCCTGGCGGGGCCTCCCTAAACACGGGCGGGAGCGGCACGGAACCTAACGCCTTGCGGTACCCTGCCCTGGTCTGGGCGGGCCTCCCAGCAGGGTGGCATGGGCACGAAACTGGATTTGGTGTTCCCGATACCCTGCCGCGGTCTGGCGGGGCCTCCTTGTAGGGGCGGGTGGGGTGTGGGACGGGTGGGAGGGGCACGAAACCTGACAGATGCTCTGGTATTCCGATGCCCTGCCGCGGTCTGGGGAAACCTCCCTGGAGGGGTGGGAGGGGCAGAAAACCTTGTAAATATCACCGTACCCCGATACCCTGCCACGTTCTGGCGGCGCCTCCCTTCTAAGTACGACGGCATTCCGATACGATGCCGCGATCTGGCGGGGCCGCCCCTGCAGGGGCGGGAGACATGCGAAACCCGATACATCGGTTGTATTCCCAATGTCCTGCCGTGGGGAGGGTATAAAACCTGATAACAAAAAATGTATCCCGATGTATGCCGCGATCTGGGTGGACCACCTGGGGACCAGGTGGCACTGGCACTGGCGAGACTGGAGTGAGGAGGGCACGAAACCTGGTAAATAACGCAGTGTCCGGATGCTTGCCGCGGTCTGACGAGTCTTCCTGGAGGGCCAGGTGGCAGTGGCTGATGAGATAATGTGTTGATTAGCAACAAGATCTCTTTTCATCTTGAGCCACAATAGGTACACGGAGGAGGGTGTCAGAATCACTCCTCCTCGGGCCTGGCCGCCAACCCGGCCAGGCACGACATGCGTCGTACGCGGGCGCGTCCAAGCCGACACGCCCATCTCCACGTCACACGCGGGCGCGTCCAAGCCGACGCGCCCATCTCGTCAGCCAGGCTGCGGCCATGCCGCGAGCCCCTCACTTCACCCGTCCGGTGCGATCATACCGCCACCGGCGGAAACTCATCCAGCCCCACAGGTAGCGGAGCATGGATTCGATCCACTCCTTCACTTGATATCCTTCTGGGTCGAACTCGGTGCCCGATCCCAGACGTTGAGCGTCGCCATGTGTCTCCTCAAAAGAGATCCACCCACGCTCTTGGTCAGCACGTCCGCGACATTGTTCTTACCAGGAACCGCGGCGATCGAGAGGTCGCCCTTGCCCACGCGCTCCTGGATCCACAGGTATCGGGATTGAACATGTCGCATCTTCCCGAGACCTCGCCGTTGGACGTGGCCCCGGGCCGCCGATGAGTCTGAGGCGAGCTCCACCTTCAGGTCCAGCCCCCAATCTGCGAAGAGGCTGTGTAGACCCAGGCCCACGCTCCCGCCCTTCACCAGGGCGTAGTACTCGCTCTCCCCACTGCTCAGAGAGACCGTCGACTGAAGATTACTGCCGTGCTTGATGACGTGATGCCCCAGCATCGCCACGAAGCCTCCGGTACTTTTCCGAGTGACTGCGCAGCCCGCATGATCGGAGTCCACGTACACTCGGATCTTGTCGAACATCTTCTGCTCCGTGAAGACCGTCACCGTACTGGGATGCCGCTTAAGGTAGCGGCCAACCCTCTTGAGCATGAGCCAACTCGCCTCCGTCGGCGTCTGCATGGACCTGGCGAGCGTCTTCGATGCCTCTGCCAAGTCCAGCCTGTCCTGAGACAGGTAGGCTACCCTCATGGTGAGGGATCGGAAGCGCGAAGCTTCCGCCGTTCCCAGCGCCGCCGACTTCGCGTCCATCATCTGCTTGTCGGCGCTGCGCTTCTCCATCGGCGTGTCCACGCCGTTGGCCTTGCTGAGACCCAGCTCGTCGATCACGATCTCTGCGTGCCGCTTGTCCGGCTCGATCATCGCATGCCGGCAGGGTCGGCCACCGCCAGGCGGAACTCCCGCACTGACCTCGATGACCCGATTCAGGAAGACCGCCTGCTTGTCGTCGCCCTCGTCGAAGCCGAGGTTCGCAGTCTTCTTGAACTCGTACTTCTTGCCTAACGTGGCTTCGAAGCTGTCGATGTCCTGCTGCTGAGCCAGCACCGCGAAATCGTCGCCGTGCCCCAGCAGCCTCGTCTCGTCCACCTCCTTGTAGAAGACCGCTGGGCATGACACGCCCGCCTTGTAGCCGTGTTCCTCCAACAGCTCCGTGTAGTCGCCCTGCCAGATCTTGCTGGCGTCCTGCGTGCCGTACCAGGACTTGAGGAGTAAGCCACACTTGTCCTCACCGTACTCCTTGCGACTCTCCTCCTCCAGCTCCACGAAGATCCTCCGCTGCGCCTTCCCGTAGAAGTGCGCCCTGCTGATGTCGAAGAAGCCGATCTTGAAGTTGCCCGGCTTCCTGCCCTTCCTGCGAAGCGACTCCTGAATGTGGAGCGGTGCTTCCCGCGTCCACGTGACCATCAGCGAGACCAGCGACCGCATGGCCTCCAGCGGAGGCATTGCCGAGAAAACCTCGGACGCCTCCAGCTGCTCGTCAGGACGCTTCTTCGCCTTGATCTCCTTCACGACGAGCCTGCCCCTGTAGTTGGGCCTCTCCGCGTCACCCTTGTTCGTGTCGACCCACTTGAGTGGGATGGGCGGACGCCCAGTCTCAGCGAAAGCCTGAGACCTCGGGACGATCTCGATCAGCTCCTGCTTCTTGACCCACTCGCGCTCGACCGCGCGAGCCTGGGCCACAAGGCCCGCCTCCAGGTAGCCGCCATTGACGTCGTCCCAGTAGCTCGTCCAGTCCCCGGGCGGCACCGCCGCGTCCACAGGGACTGGGCCCGACTGCTGCACCTGGGCGGTGCTGAGCTCCCCCACGTCATTCAGCGTGTCCTTGAGCTCCTCCAGCACCGCCTCCACCAACTTCGGTGGATAGACCTTCGCAAACCGCGCGATGCCGCCCACGAGCGTGATGTGGCGATGCCACTCCGCGCGTCCGTCCACATTGCTGCAAGTGCCCTGCAGTCTCCGGGCTAAGCCTGGGTGGTTGGTGACCCACCCGGTCTCCTTGCGCACGAACTCCTCCTGGCCACTGCGTGGGTTCGTGAGCTTCATGCCCCACCGACACATGGGGCCTTTGACCGTGAAGACTCCTGGATGCGCGACCAGCTCCTTGACGATGTCCTCATTCCACGATCGCGCGCTCCAGGGATGCTCATGCAGGAAGTACCTGCCTGGCTTCCTGAGCTGACGCCAGTAGGCGTCGACTGCCACCTTCAGGTGGTGTCTGGCCTCCTCCATCTCAGCCGCCTCCTGCTCATCGGTCCTGAACTTGGCGCTCAGGCCCCTCAGCAAGCTGAACTTCTCGCATGGAGGGGACCCTGTGAGCAGGATGGGATCCATCCGCTCCTGCTGCTCCTCGAGCTCCTTGACATCCTCGGGTCGCCGCAAGTCCCACGGCGCCCCGTCCTCCTTGAGTTCCTCCAGGTCCGCCGCGAAGCCCGGGCGCAGCTGAAACTCCGCCGCCCGAGCCGAGAACCGATGTGGCGAGTACACCTCTGCCACGTCCACGGCGCCCAGCTGCAACGCCGATAAGGCGATGCTGTCCACCTCTTCGTCGGCGATGTCCACGCCGACGCTGGCCCAATGGCCGCTGACCTGCTCGCGAACGAGCGGAAGCAACTCCGCCTTCGCTCTCGTCAGCACTCCGAGCTCGACCAGCTCGATCGACGCCACGTCGAGAGCGAGCACCCGCATGTGTCTCCCCTCACTGGCGTTCCACACGACTGCCACTCCAGCTGGCAGCTGAGGTCCCTCCGCTGGCGCCGGCTGCGCCGCGAGATCCTCCATGTCCACCGGTACCGGCACGTCTGCCGGCTGTGGATCACCGCGCTCGAGGGCCTCCGGCACGTCATCCGGGGCCACCTCCGCCAAGCGCTTCAGCCGCGACCTGGTCGCGGTCATGTCGACATCCTCGGCGGCCTCTGCCGCTCTCACTGCTCCCGAACTGGAGCTCGCTCCTCCTGAAGGAGCCGCCACGCCGGAGCCTGATGCTCCCGGCTGGCTCTCTCGCATGCGCGCCGCTGCGGCTGGCGCTGCTGCTGCGATCGGCTCGCGGCCGGCGCCGACGCCGCCGCTGCCACCGGCTCGGTGATCCTCCGAGCCGTCTTCGGCGGAGGGGTCCCTGCCGCGGCCGCTGCCGCCGGGCGGACTCTGGCCTCTTGGCCCTGCCTCCGCTCTCGATACTGGCCGGTCCTCTCCCGGCCTGCCTCCTCAGCGTCCAGCGCTTCGAAGATTCTCTTGCTGCACACCGCGTTGTGCGCATGGCCAGCCAGCACCTTGCCGTGCTTGGCGATCGAGACGCACCCTGGGCATCCCGGCGTTGCGCCCAGCCGCTCGACGTCCGCCTTGAGAACGTACATCCTCCTCGGCGCCTGCGGCTGCGGCGGCACCACCACAATCGGTGGCGGACCGGCCTCTCCCGGTCCGACGATGGCTCGCGGCGCACTGGCCGCACGCGGAGCCACGTCCCACGGCAGGCCCTTCAGGCTGTCCCAGCCCGCCGTGATCCACTTCTCGCTCTGCGGCAGGCTGCGAAAGCCGACCGCCTTCTTCACACCGTCGCTCGTGATGACCATCATCGAGCCGTCGCGCGGGTGGTGGCCGATGTAGCGAGCCTCCACCATCTGCTCCTCCAGCGCGTTCTTCCTCGCGCGCTCCCCGGCGAACCGCACCATCAGGCGCTCACCGAAGAGCGGGACCGGCTTCCTCCACTGCCGTCCCGTGAGCCGCTGAAGAGCGGTCTTGCCGTCCTGGCCGCGCCTGTATCGGTTGATCACCGATGCGGCGTGCTCCGGCAGGTGCGCCAGCACTGGGTGCTTGTCCTCCACCTTGACGCCCAGCTTGGACTCCAGGTCCATCTTGAGCGCCCGCACCTGCTTCTTGATCTCGCGCACCGTGACCTCGATCTCCCCATTGGCCTGATGATCGGCCGGTGCCGACTCCTGGGGAATGGCCTCGAGGCCAGGAACCTCCTCCACCGCACGCCTCTTGACCAGCAGGATCGCTGGCTCGCCGTCGGACTTGTTGACGATCTTCCTGTAGCCCAGGATCCGTAAGAAGCGTGCGAAGAACTTGATGGCGTAGGCGTCGTCGCCCTTCTTCTCCACGAATGTCGCTGCCATCATCTTCGAGCGTCGATCCCTAAGGACCAGCATCGGCATGGTGTCCGCGTCGTCCTGGCCCATGAAGGCGTAGTCGGACGAGACCACCGGCACCGCCGTCTCGTCGTCCTCCGGTGCGCGGAGATGCGGCTGGCCTTGGCCCTTTGCCGCAATACACACGCGACACCAGCTGCGGTAGGTCGCGTGTCCCATCGCCTCGTGCTCGACGATCTCCCTCTGAGAGGGCTCGTGAGGTGCCTTCAGCACCCTCGGGCGAGCCTCCTCCTCGCCCTCGTCGGCCTGCTGTCCATCAGGAGCAGCTGGCAAAACGTCGGCCGCGGCAGCTGCCGCTGGCTGAAAACCCGGCGGTCTCATGTCGGAAGGTCCCGACCCCGCCGCTGCCACCCCTGCAGCCAATGCCGCAGGGGACCGCGGTATTGAGTCTTCCAGTGGACTTACGCCAAGGGCTGCCTCCTGGGGACTGTCCTCTCGAAGATCTCCAGCAGCTCCTCCTTCGACTTGCTGCTGAGGAGCTCCACCAGCTCGGACTTCGACTTCGCCGAAAGTCCCTCCTCGAGAGGAGCAACCGAGCCATGTTGGCCCTTCTTGAGGTAGAAGTTGTAAACTCCCTGCTCACGATAGACCGGCAGCATCTGGTGCTTCGCCGTCTTCGCCTCCTTCTCCAGCATGCCTACCACGCGCTTGCCGATTGGGCTCTTCTCGTGGAATATCCAGCCGCCATTGCGGCCTAGGAATGAACACTGTCCAGCTCCTGCTGCCTGCCCCACCGAGATCAACGGCTTGTGCACGTTCGTCACGCGTCCCTTGAGCGCTCGTAGCACTCCGTACTCGTCCTCCGCCTTGAGCTGCAAGCTGCCCTCGTCCGGGACGAGCTCACCACTGGCCGTACGATACGTGCTGCCGTTGCCCTTCATTCCCGTCGGCGGCGCGAAGCTCCGAGGGAATGCTGAGACAGCTGCACCGCTGTCCCAGTTGAACTTCATCCAGTCGTCCTGCACGAAGGGGGAGAGGTCGACCGCCGCTACGCCGCGGCCGTTGCCGCTGGCGAGCTCCAGGCAGTCCAAGCTGCCCATGTCCAGAGCGGCGACCTCCGCCTCAGGCTCCTCCTCCAGGCTGCCTGCCGCCTTGCCGCCGGCCTTGCCGCCGCGGCTGCCACCTTTACCACCAGCGCTTGCCCCCGTTGCGGATCCAGTTCCAGCCCTCGTACTCGATCCCTGCTCTTTCCTCCAGCATTCGGATGCCTTGTGGCCCCATCTCTCGCAGTTCCGACAGTAGCCGTCGAAGCGCACGCCGGTGCTTCGGGGTGCCATGTGCCCTGAACCACGGCCCGAACCCGTCGGGGATGTGCGGGAGCCTGAGTATGATCCGCTCGTCGATTTGCTCTTCCCCTTCGGCTCCTGGGTCTTGCCTTTCCCTTTGCTCTTGCCGTCCTTGCCCTTGCCTTTGCCTTTTCCTTTCGGGGCTCCGAACGATCCGACGTCCATGTCGTCCGGATGATGCGCCCGTGCGCGGATCGATGGCTCCTTGATCTTCACGCCTGTCCGAGCCTCTACGATCGTCATTACCTCGTTCAGGCTGTCCTGGAACGTCACGAGCCGATGCTTGTTGAGTACGAGGTGGTTCTCGATGTCCTGAGGCACGAGCATCTCGAGGGCCGCCATCTTGATATCCTCCGGCAGCTCCGCCAGCCCGTCTTCTCCTTGGCGGCGTTCGTACTTGCCTATCTGCTGGATCCACTTCTCTAAGGCGGACCCCAGCTCTTCCGCGTTGCACTTCGGAGGCGAGATGATCGACCTCAGGATCAGCCTCTTCCTCGGACCTGTCGTCGGGTCCCACCTGCGGTGAAGCTTCCGCCAGGCCTCGAGACCGTTCCCGTCGGGTGCGCCCGTCACGAGGTCGTTGCTCTCGCTGCCGTCCGCCGTCGTGCTGATCAGCGCCGCGTACAGCTGGTTGATCTTGGTCTCCAGCTCTGGTACTCCTCCGTGCGCCTCCTGTGCCCCTTCGATCGTCACGGGGCGTTCGGCTTCTGCCGCCCACCGGAGAACAGGACGGAAGCTCTCTCCGTACACGCCTATCACGTAGTTCTCCATCTTGCGGTTCCAAGCTCCGAACTTCTCCTGATCGTCGCCTAGCGTCGTGGGCTTGCCGATCCCCTTCGTGTCGACGAGACCGGGTGCGGCTCCTCCCGCGTTCGTAGCGCCTCGGATCTGCTCGCCCATGCGCTCGATCGCCTGCGGGATCGCCGCGAGGCCTCCTGCTACTTGCTGCTGAAGCCGTTGATTCTCGTTCTCCAGCCTCCTCATCTCGTCGACGGTCTGACTCATTCGGGCTGCGAACTCCTGCCTCAGTAAGTCGAACTGCTGCCGAACTTGCTCGTCCATGTTTGACTGCGTGTCTCCTGGCGAGCTCCTCCTTGCTCTCAGCTATCTCCTGCCTCGTACGCTCGAGGTCTATGATCTGATCTAGGACCTCCTTCTTCGCCTCCTCGATGGCTCCCGACGAATTCTCCGAGGGGTGGTCCTCGATGTACGCGAGGTCGTGAAGCTTATTGCCTGTATCCTTCAAGCCGTGCTTGAACTGGAGCTGCTTGCGTCTATTCTCGACCGCTACCTCGCTCCTCTTGCCGCGCTTGCGGCCGCTCTTCCCGGTCCTTGCCGGTTGACTCCTCCCGGCCTCTGCCGGTTGACTCCTCCCGGCCTCTGCCGGTGGCTCGGACACTGCCGAGCTCGGTGCGTTGACAGGTGCGACCGATGCCGCCCTTTTCCAACCTCGAGCCTCTGGCCAGCTCGCCGTGGCGCCCGCGGGCGCGCCAAGGCCCTGGTGGGTCGGCAACAGTGAGTGGCCAGCTCACGCTACCATGATGAGATAATGTGTTGATTAGCAACAAGATCTCTTTTCATCTTGAGCCAAAATAGGTACACGGAGGAGGGTGTCAGAATCAGTGGCGAGGCTGATGAAGTGGGGAGGGCACGAAACCTAATAAATAAAATGGTATCCGGAGGCCTGCAGCGGTCTGGCGGCGCCTCCCTGGAGGGCCAGGTGGCAATTGCGAGGCTGGTGGAACGCGGAAGACACGAAACCTCATCAATAACACGGTATCCGGAGGCCTGCCGCGGTCTGACGGGCCTCCCTGGAGGGCCAGGTGGCACTGGCGAGGCTGGCAGAGTGGGGAAGGCACGAAACCTGATGAATAACAACGGTATCGGGATGCCTGCCGCGGTCTGGCGTGGACGGCCATGAGGCACTGTCGAGGCTGGCGGCGCGACGAGGCTGCATGTATGTGTATGTGTATGTCCATGTGTATGTGTACGTGTACGTGTATGTGTACGTGTGCGTGTATGTGTGTATATATATATAGAGAGATGGGTGTGTATATGTTTGAGTACATGTACATATACGTGTATTTGTATATGCACGTGCACGTGTACGTGTACGTGTACGTGTACGCGTAC